TATATATATATATATATATATATATATATTTAGGTAAATTTCAGCTTTCCACATCAATCAAGTCACACGGTATTAAATAAGTCTCTGCACTATGATTCCAGCATAGTTTGTTGTTGTTTTTCCAAACCAACAGCCTTACATTATTTATTGTTAGACTTGATGAAGCAAAAAAAATAAGGAATAAATCAGATTTGCCAATAAAAGTTCATTTGATCAGATGGGGACAAAGTCTTAATGCAACACAACATGATTTGAGACTGGGAAAATGCGGTCACGCGTGCCATCCCTCAGGGGGCTCCTTACAGACCCAGCTTGGTTCTTCTCCAATGTCTTCTCTTGGAGTTGTACCTGATTTTATTACCGGTTTTCATTCGAATCCATTGGGGAATGGGCCGATTCTGTTTCTGTTTCTTGGCCAGGTATCTCTTGATCCTAAAAGTCTTATGAGACGACATGGTGAAGTCGGAGCAACACCACGCTCAGGATAGCAGAGACACTGAGAGCTCCAGCACAGTTTTAAATGACTACAGAGAATAATGATTTGTATCCTCCTTCACACACACACAACTTAAGCTGGAGAATTGGCAGAAAAAAACTCCACAATAAAAAATAGTTTATTACCAAGCACGCTATTTCAATTTAGGCTCAACCCCAAGCAGGCACTCCAAGAACATTTGCTGAGTGGATAAATTAACTACGTTTTGAGAAACATTAGTAATTTAGGGTGTCATGCAGTACAAAGCACAGCAAATTCCGGGAAGGGAGGATCTAAGACTCTCAGGCCAGCTCTGACACAGGAGCGAACAAGACTTCAACAAGTGATGATGACACCACTCCAGGGCGACTGGCGTGAATGGAGTAAAACAATGTCGTGGGAAGGGTCACAATAAACCAAGAATAAAGTCTTGGTCAACTAGATCCCAGATGCTAGAAAAGCCAGACGGAAGCAAAGGGCAAATAAGATGTCAGCACTTTGCGGACAGCAGCCGCAGCCTCTTCACCTGAAGAAAGTCCCTCAAAAAACTGGAATGAAATCTGCGATGCTTCAACCCTTTGTCCTATTCAAAGCGTGCTGGCAACAACTCATGGAGGGACGCACTATGAAATAAATGGAATGCATTACCTGGTAATGTAGCACAGCCTTCCAATTAGAAAAACTACTTTTAAGAAGTAATCCGTTTGCTTCTACACAAGTCTTTAGACAGTCTTCATTTGAGATGAAGCCCGCATTTTCTGAACAGAAAAGCTTTAACCTGTGGGTCATGGCCCTTTTGGGGGTCAAACGACCCTTTCACAGAGGTCGCCTGATTCATAACAGTAGCAAAATGACAGTTATGAAGTAGCAACTAAAATAATTTTACGGTTTGAGGGGGGGAGGGTGTCACCACAACCTGGGTAACTGTATTAAAGGGTCGCGGCCTGCGGAAGGTTGAGAACCGCTGCTTTAGGTGAACACTCAGAGCTACTTAATATCTAAAGGGAACACGAAACAAGGTTCTTTAGGTGCTGAATAAACTTCAGCATGCCCACGTGTAGACCGGCTGGATTCAGCTAGTGAAGAAGCATGTCATTTGTCGCATTAACCGTAAGCTCAAAAAGAGAAAGAGACACTTTTCTTGTCAGCTTTATTCAAGTATTTCACAGCAGTTATATTACAAATTACAGTAAATGTTCAAAATTCCAGATTTTAAAAATTAAATAATTTACTTCAAACTAATGTAAAATGAAGTCAAAATGCAAAATATCAATTTGACACAATTCTAAATTAAGCTACAAATCCAAATAGACCATAGTTGATGAAGTCTACTTAATCTACAAAGTAGACACACATAACTGAAACCGAACAGGACTCCCAAAGCCTGAATAACTGAATGTACAAGATACAAGCCCAAATTCAAGCTTACATGGTGATCACAAATTATAACAACAATGGCATTCAGCTACGGGACCTGACACTGAAGTTAGCTACTGGATAGCACCCTAGCCGAACCGACTTAATATCAAAAAAAAAAGATCAGAAATGACCACCCACTCCTTAAAATTAAAATCCAGTAACCCTACAAATACACTGGCATTATGAGAAAAATCAAGTCATGAAAGGATGTTAAAAGAAAAAAATTTAATCACAGGTGAGATTCAAGTTCATGAACACAATTAACTCCACAGCCATCCATTTCAACCCTAGTGCGGTTCCATCCTCTTCAGAACAGGTCCCACGGTCCCCACGGCTGAGCAGTCACCATGGCTGTGCTGTGCTGTGGCACAGCTTACTGATCTGAGAGCCAAGTTTTACACAGGAGCTTAAACGTTTATAATGCTCACAATAGGAAATAAGAATGGAGGTCAATTTGTACATACTTTTGCCAATTCTACATAGCAAAAACTAAGAACGTACAGAAAGGCAGGCAGGATTGAGTCTACCCGGGGAATTTCATAAACTGCTGGAAACTACAGACCACCAGATGTCTGCAGAGGACGTGCAACTGGTGTCGTGTGTTTCTTCTGGGGGGAAAGGGAGCCGGAGGAGGTGGTACAGTTCAGCTCACTTCTCTCTCCTTGGCACAAGACTGTGTTCTCTGTCGACCTACCCTGTTCGAAGTGGCAGCTCCTGTCATACTGAGGTTGCCTCCTATCTCTCCGTCTGCATGAAGCTTAGATTTAAAAACAGAAAAACACTTGATCTTCTGGAAGCGTTTTTAAAGCTGAGAATAAATAAATCTCCTTGGTCAAACTCACATATGGCTAAAATCTTAATTCACTTGGACAGATTTAGTAACCTACTAACAACATTTAGTGTGTCGTTTTCCTTTCACACGTGCTGCTGTTACTTGAACAGAATCCTTCTGAATTAGAGTCGCTGGAATAAATATTTAAAAAAAAAAAAAAGTACAGCAAGAACCTGAGACTTGCAAAAAACCCTTTTACCAGAAATTTGCTACAAAAAATCTGCTACATCTTATTTCATCAAATCTTTAAATTCTGTAACAATTTCCATCAAAATACAAAATGCTAATGTATCAGACAGTAAAATAGTTAGAACTGGTATGGTGGTAATAAATATTAAAGAAACCATGAAAATCCTCCCAATAATCAAATTGGAGGTTTCAAATCACCTCCCCTTTAAATGGTTCATTAATCGCACTTGCCTACTTAAAAATACAGTGTGTCTATAAGGATAGCATCTTGAGTTACGTGACTAACTGGATACTGAGAAACTTCATTGATGAGATAGAAAAAAAACGAGGCATTTTTAAAAATCAGGCTAGAATTAGAAGGTGTAAAATGTAAAAGCAAATGCAAAGAAGCACTTAGGATTACTGCAGTAGCCTAAGGCCCAAGTGTTTTCTGCACCAGCATCCAGCACACTGCAAACAGCCGAGAGCAGGTGACGAGCACCTCAGCTTCAGCGGTAAGCGGTGGCGAGTGCTTACAGGGCTCTGTGAGCACTGGTGGTAACAAAGACACAAGCGGAGGTAACTCAGCATCTCTGCAGCAGTCCCCGACCACTGGCTCTCATTAAAACCCAAACGACATGTGTTGCATAGTGAGAAGACACAGCTGCAGCTAATGGTTATAATGAATGAAGCTATCAAGCCCATGCTCGGCAAAATTTTCTACTATTTTTTGTTTGTTTAAAAATCATCTGATTATAAAAATGTTACTTGTTACTGCACTCCCTTTGTCTCTTTGCAACTGCCTAGATTGTGTCTCCAAATTTGTAGAAAGCAAGTTTTTTTTTTGTAAAAACCAGTAACCCATAATTAATTTTAGGTAGATACAATTCATAGAAATCACTCAACAAGATCCAAAATGGGCCCCACTCACTGCACAGTTGGGAAGGTTAAGATTAAGGGAAGGGGTGTAGACATTAATACTGTGATTCAAGGACTATACCAGAGTTCTCTTGCAATTTGACGTACACAAAATGAACTTCATGAACATTCTGACAAATTCCTCTCTTTTCTTTCCACTTGGTAAGTCCTGGCTTTAAAACAAAATAAAACTATGATGATTTGCTCTATGTGAAATTCATTCTTCTCTGGGAACCCAAACATCAACAACTACAAAACTGCCCCCAACAGAACAAAGGATGGCCGGTATCAATGTCTGTTCTGGTCATCATTATCAGTAAGATTAAAAAACATGTGAGCTATTTTGTGGAGTGTGTATTATTTGTTACTCGTATGGTTTTAATTCTCAACGAGAAATACAAGGAGGCTTAAAAAAAGTGTGTGGATAAATTCCATTATTTTAAAAATCTGTCTTTCCATGAACTTTTTTGAAGCTCCCTCATAGGCCACAAAGGAAAACATACCATCTTAGTATATTGTGTGGCTTACTGAGGGTCTTGGTTGACTTCTGAGAGCAAGGCAGGCATTTTATACCAAAATATTGGCTGCCCCTTCATGACACAGAATATCAAAACGTTTCAAGATCATGTCCCCAGAAAACACGCTGTCATTTGCTACAAACAAGCCCATTCCATCTGTTTAGCCTTATCTTTCTCAAATGTATAAAAAGGCACATTGAAGGCAGTTCTAAAGAGCCTAGTCTAATTTCATCCAGTTACTTCAGTTTCCCACCAGAATATACCATAGCCAACTCTAAAACAGGTTTCAGTCCATTACCCAGAGAGCAAGAAAACAAATATGACAAAAGGGGTAGAAAGAAAGAAGAGGAAGAGAAACGAAAAACAAACAGGTCGCCCACTGTTTCAACGATTCCACAGTTAGAACTGCCCCGTCCGGTTCCTTGTTTGCTGCTCTGCACCCTCAGACGGACGTCTCCAGAGGAGGGCGCACAAGGAGAGGAGCAGACTCGAAAGCAATTTCTGTAGCACCAAAATCTCCAAGCTGTGGGGTTGTATTTTTTGTTTGTGGAAAATACAACATAGTTCTGAAGTTCTGTTTGGTTCTTGTAGGCTGGTTGGTTTCAGGTACCTGAGACGATAGCACCAAATTCAACAGAGAGAAAGAACGAGTGAGCGAGCACACTGCAGACCAAGGCTCTGCACACCATTGGTGCGATTGGGGCTTGAATGGCTCAGAAGACTGCTCGGTCAGGAGCAGAATGGAGAGGGTTAACCACTCGTCTTGAGAAGTTCATAGGAATGTCTCAAACGTGTGAACTGTTCTTTCCATCACCTAGAGGGAAGAAAACAAGCCCGACACATGTCATCTGGCAGGGAGAGACAAAAGTACCCCTCACGAGGCAAAGCTCATTCTAGTTTGACATTCTGAAGAACCTGCGAGAGAAGTTCAACTTTTGAATATGTTCCTGATTACATTACCACAGATACTCTATGTCTGCCCTGAACACTTTAAAGTGCCTTCATTTTAAATTTAGATTAATGAGGAGGAGGATGATGATGATGATAACACTCACTGAGTATTTACTCTGCCATATACTGTTAAGAAATTTATATTTTATTATGAGCCTCATTTATAGAATACTGAGGTAAAGTGGAGAAACCATTTGTGCCTGCTAACAGGTGGTGGACTGGGTCAGGAATTAAATACAGGCAGCCTTACCTCTGGTGGGCATGTGGCCCCTCTTGGCTCTGCCCTGAACTGGGCCCCAACTCACCGCTTGGGGAACAAGCTGGAGACACGAGTGCCCAGCAAGAAGAGGAAGGACGGAAGGTTTTGGGGTGAGGACAGCTGGCTGCCTCCAAGGAGGGGGTGACTGTGAGGGTGACATCGCCAGAAAGCCAGCACTGCCCAGCTGGGGGACCATGGGTCTCAGGGCATTCACTGAGGCCCCCAGAGCAAGATAAAAGCCTTCAGAGTAAGGAGGTGTACGTTAAAAAGTAGAAGGGCACTCTCCTCCCATTTCTACCCACTCCAACCAGAGCTCAGCAGGCAGGGCAGGGTGGAAGCAGTCAGGATGAGTTGCTGCCATTATCACCACCAGGAAAGCCTAGCATTGCTGATTCTGCTATTGACTGACTTCCTCTCATCACCTGGGCCCCAGTACATGAGATTTCCAAGTCTCACACGGAGAGATAGTTCACTGTGGCAGAGTATTCAACCCATTCAAACTCATGAAAACTCAATCACCTGAACAGGTTCCAGAATGTAAGAATGTAAAGAACCCTACCTGAACTCATTTTGAATTTGCTGAGACATCTTCAAAAAGAGAGACGTTTCCACAGAACTAGCAGCCTAGCAGACTAGCCTCTCATCAAAGTGTCCTACACAATGACTCAAATTGCGTCTGCTAAACAGAAGTCAGAACACACCACCTCCTTAAACAGTCACACCGACAGCACTAAGAAGCCCTAGGCTGCCATCCGCAAGGTCAGCTGCTCCACGGGACAGAAAAGACGGGCTTTCCACTCCCATCAAGAGTGACAGTCTTGGAAGCTCAAGGAGCGGTTCTACCGTGTCCTGTGGGGTCGCTATGAGTTGGCATCAACTTGATGGCAACGAGTTTGTCTTTTTTATACATGTATTATGAACATCTAGATATTTTTAAAGGATGAAAGATAATCCAAGAGATTAGTTAGTACTGACTAGTTTCCTCTGTTTGTGCTTTCTGTAATTTACATGTATACAATGACAAAATGGCTTAATAAAAGTGTAATCTGTAAAAATGTGACTACAGGAAACTTACTCTTCCTTTATTTCAAGTCCAATAATTCTTATTAAGCACAACAAAATCATCACATACATATAAATCTTAACACACTAGAAATGTTCCTTGAGAACAGGATTTTGCTTTTTTTCATTTATTTTTTTTTGGTGGGGGAGGGGTGCTCTAAATGCCATGGGCAGGATCTGGCACTGAAGATACCCAACAGATATTAATAGATGAACAATCAAATAAACTAACAAGTGAACCAAAAAGAGTCTAATTTAGTCACTTAGCCGTTTAGTGGGTAGACAAGGGATTATATTTGCTTCGATGACCATGAAACACAGAAGTGGGACTAATGATATAAATTCCATGAACTCTTTGAAGGCCCCTAGTACCACGCTCATTAAATCTATAAGGGAACCCTTTCTTATGGTGCAGATCTGTCTACAAAGGAAACGGTCTGCATCTACAGAGTCTAAGCAAAAGGACAACCACCTCTTGATATGGGTATTTTGCAGAACCAGATCAACTGGAGTCAGATATATTTAAGCTCTCTTCTAACCATTCATGGTGAAGCAAATGCCTGCGCGGATTCCTCTGAGCAGCAATGGCTGCCCTGGGAACAGTGGACAGGACTGCGAGGCCCTGCCACCTGCAATAGGACCAAGAGATACACTCAGCCGGCGGTGTCACTAATGAGCAAGGTGAAGAGGAATGTGGCTCACTATTCTGAGTGTATCAAGTCCCAGGGGTGATGCAGGGGTTAATGTGCTCAGCTATTAACAGAAAGATTTCAGGTTCAAGACTACCCTTAGGAGCCTCAGGAAAAAGCCCTAGGGATCTACACCTGAAAAAGCAGCCACGGAAAACCTTAGGGCACACGGTTCTACACAGACACACTTGGGGTATCCATGAGTCTGAATCATCTCAATGGCAACTGGTTGTTTGGAGGGGTGAGCCTGTATATGTGCCAACCATGGCCACCGTGAATTTCTGTGGTTTGGCATACTAAAAAATCCCAGGTAAAAGGCTTTATTTTTCTGACATAATGCTTAATGATTCTTCTCATCTAAATCTTCAGAGCATTATTTTTTCTTCTTTCTCTTTCCTTGGGGTAATGAAAGCACATACTTGCTTATTCTGAAGACCAGAATGAACAACTTACCTCTACAAGTTGTGATTTGTCATAGTCTTTCCGATGACGGTAGATGCACTGGCTAAGAAGAGAATACAATCGCTCCAGCTGGTCAACTGTCAGATGGCTGCTTTTATCTACCAATAAATCAAGCAAGCTCTAAGAAAAATAGAAGAAAACAAGTTTTACTTCAATGTCAAACTAAAACCCTATTTTTGAAATGGCTATGTAATCGGCATTCATAAGGCCATGACCTAGCGGTGATGCCTGAGTTCAGAAGAAGGTAGAACTTCGTTTACTAAGTCCCAGACCATTCCCTCGCCCCCTCAAATGCCACAAAACCCTTTTAGTAGAAGCTCTGAGGCATTTCTAGTCTAGGTTGCAGCAAGATTTTAAAACTAGTTTCATTCAACTGCCTTCAGACATATTCAAATCTCTTTCCACTCATTTTAAACTGGATTGGGAATCACTAGGCTTACCTTCAACCTCTCGCGATCAACTATAAGAGGGGGCACAGGCTCAGAAGGCTCTTCTGGAACCAGTTCCAGGCTTGTTGGTTTTGCCTGTTCTAAAATTAACTTACGATATTTCTTTACTTTAGAAGCACCTACAATTTGGGGTAAGGGAAGAAAAATAATCAATAGCAAGTAAAAGTTAAGAAAAATCAGGCATAAACAACTATATTTATGTTCTACTGACTACAAATTGTTAAAGGAATGAGGAAGGGCCATATGTTTTCTTTAATTGGTGGGGGTGGTGGTTAAGAAAGTAATGCAAATTAATGAGAACAAAACCACAGCCATGAAAGCCAAGGCATACTAGAATCTCATCTGATAAATATTTTCACTAAAAGAAAGATAAAGGCAATTTTCATCTTTAAGTACTGACATATAAACCAGCCTCTCTGGTTTTTGGGGTTCTTTTTACAGTTTTATTGGCATAAAATTTTCATATCATACAACTCAATGGCTCAATCATATCAAGAAGGAATTGTACAATCATTACACAATCAATGTTAGAACTTTTTTTTTCATGGTTAAATCGCTTTTAAAATGAGTTGTGTAATCACAATCAGTTCTAGTGCCCCCTCCTCCTTCCTGCATACAGTGCTCCCCATATCCCCTCACCCTCCCTATTTCCCACCCCCACTCCTACACATCTCCTATAAACCCTTGCATGGTTTATTATATCTATGCATCTACTCCTTCCATGCTCCACAAACTGGAAAACCTAGCAGAAACAATAAAAAACAAAATAAAGTGGTAAGGATAAAATAATAATATAAAAATACAAATACAAATAATGAGTAAGAAAGAAAAGACCACTATCAATATTTCAAAAACCAGGGAAGAAATTTTTATCATGAAACAAGCAAGAAATACTTGCACCTAAAACAAATTTAAGTTGGGTCACAAAGGCGGTCCACTGACCAAGTATCAAGTTCGATTCAGCATAATCAAGATTACAATGATCTCTATTTGACAGTAAACAGCCTCGCTCTCTTTATGAGAGGCATCAGTTAAAGGTTGGGAGCGTTCAGAATTTAAAAAGGTAGCAATGTAGAAAAGCAGACACTGACACAACGTGGAGTCCGCTCGCCTACACCTCTGCCCCCATCTAGAAGATTCCCCGCAGCATGCCTGAAGCCACCTCTTTTTCTTTGTTCTGCTACAGGGCCTAACATTCTCCTAGAGATTGAGCTGGACTTTTCACAACTCATTAGATAGGTATAGTAAGGCTAGTGTGCTGTCTTTCTTGCCTTCCAGTGAATCAGTGAAAGTGAATGACTCTCTTCCTAAGGTCTGGGGGACAGCAGGCACTCGGAGAGCATAGGCATGTTGAGGAGAGTGAGCACACTTTCACCACCAGACATTTTGAGGGGACAGTCCTCGTGGCCCCTAAGCCCTGTGCGCTTCAGAGAGGAGGCTGAGGGGAAGGAGCACAGTGACAGGCTGGGTGGTTTCAGAACCACAGATAGGCGCTGAGCCATGCCAGGGACACTAGAGAGAAGCCTCCTCCTCCCTACACCAGTCCTCTCCCTCCCAAGTCTTCCTCCTTCTCAGCAGTATGAGCTAGTCTGTAGATACACAACTCAAGAAGCAAAATGCTGCCTTTAAAAATATATGCTACACTGATACAAAGGGAAAATGTTGCATTTCAGGCAGTCTTTACAGCATGTGGACTTTTAAAATTCAACAAATAGATGCTAGTGACTTTGTTAAGACTAGTTTGCTCCTGTGATTACAGCTACGGACTTCTTTAGGCCCGAGAACTCAGATCGGAACCAGGGCACTGGGAATGCTCCTCTGACAATTCCAAGTTAAAACTTCAAGTAAAGCTTTTTACACGACAAGTGATCTTAATGCTCCTGCGTCACCGGTTAGCACAATATTAATTTAAATATTTTGGCAAGCTAACTGAAATCTTACAGCCAAAGAGCATGAAACAGACTCCTTCCCTCATATCCATTTTACCTCTTTAACACCTTAAATGTCTCCCCTTCTCCCACTCTGCGCCCTTCTCTACTTAACGCTAGCTTTAAAATTTGGACTAAATTACAACCCAGAATAAATACTGCTCTTAAAACTATTTTCTATTATTAAATATTGAGATAATGAGGAAAAAATACTCCGCAAGTAGCACTGCTGGGCTGTAAATCTCTTTCTTTATTCCTTAAAAGAATTAATTCTAAGATTTGGAATAAAACTTTGCTTCTTCTTAATTCTGCTAGTGGGCTCAAAAAGAAAACTGGCAGCAAAACCCCTCCCACCAAGTCCAAACCCCAACCATGGGCCCCACACAGTCTAGAGGGCAGGAAACATTTCTCAGATCACACAGTGATCCTGGTAAGAAATGCATATGGATCACGAAGGATCTCCAACTCATTCCAGATTAATTTCAGCAGTAACAACAATAAGGACAAACAAAGAGGAAGCAGAAGCCCACGGCTCCTCGTGTCTGTGGCTTCTTGACAGGATCCCAGAGCCACAGGAAGTGAAGGGGTGGCATGGTGCTGATTCTGTGAGGACAAGCTAAGTTTGACAAGGAGAACTCTGCTTCTTTCCTTACAAAACCAAGGGGCCTCTTAGATCAGGGACCCTCAGGTGCAACTAACATCATGTGCCTGGAATGGATATACCTTAGTATGTTCCTGGGACCATAAGAGGCACATTAATATACATGATTTATTTAATCCCAACAACATCATTCTTCGACATGGGGGTGGGGGTGGGGTGTCAAATACGTGACTAGCTCAAAATGGCATGATTATAATGAACAGATGTGGTAATTTAATCTAGGTTGATATAACTCTTCCTTATAAATTATACTGCTATTAACATCCAAGCCTTCTCTGCCTATTTCACCTCACCTTGATAAAGCCTTCTAAAATTCCACCTTCTTAAAACCTATGGATTTACTCAGCATTTAGTCATAAATCCTGTAGAACAAGGGTGACAATCAGGCAGGAGGTGGGAGAGCAATGCATTCTAGACTCCCACTACCCTGAAGCTTTCTGCAAAATGCATTCTTAATGTGCACACTTTTCCAGGAAAAAAAGGGTGAGAACTTTTAACAGATTCTCAAGGGGATATAATTACTCATCGATCACTGCTAGTAAAAAGAATAAAACATACAATAATAATCCGTGGCATTACAATAATTCTGGAGCTCACGCCTTCACAGAAGATGACATATATAAATCTCTTTATTATTAATATGTATATTTATGGGCACTACCTTCTTTATCCATTTCTGCATCCTTGGCCTCCACAGCAGAGCCCGGCTCTAACTTCCTGGAATCGCTACATTCCAGTGCCTCTAGTTTCTCAGGATCGTCTCCGGGATTTTCGTGGGAAGTGTCTGGTTTTTCTTTTGAATGGTCCTCCAGTGGGGTCTTTTGTTCGGAGCTACATTTCTCTCCACTATCACAGGAAGAAACGCCTTCAGCTTTACCATTCTGACACTCCAGAACAGGAAGCCCATCCAAACTGTCCGTGGAGGCCTCACCGTTCAGACAGCTTCCTTTAGGGAAAGGCTCTTTCCTAGAGGGCTGTTCTGGGTTTAGAGAACCGCTGCTGTGCACGAGCAGGGATTCGTTTGAACTCTCTTCCGTGGAGGCAAAGTTCTCTTTCGTGCCTGCTCCGTTGTTGAGCCTCTGTCCCTGGTCCATGTCCATGATGTCACATGACGACTCATCATTGGTCATGGATAAGTCTCCAGTCTCTTCTCCATTTTCCTCATGGCAGTCAGTGCTTACCTCAAACTCTCCACCATTCTCTAGCAATTTCCTGTCTTCTGCATGGTTCTCATAATCTGCAAATTTGGTATCCTCTTCATCTTTTTTCAAACTGTTGACTTTTCTTTTCTTAATAATTCCTTTACCCCACTGTGACCGCCTCCTTGATTTTCTCCGAACCCGAACTGTTTTACATGGGGGGAGAAGAAGAAGAAAAAGATGTATAGAACTGAGTATACAATAGGTGGTTTACAAAGGTTTGTTAGGTGGGAGCTAAAAGAAAGTAAGCCCATATTGATGTAATAACACACACAAACAAAAACTACCATAGGTAGTCGAGTAGTATAAGCCAACCCAAACATCAGCCAAGGCACCTAATTTTACCACAAAATTTTCATTAAAAATGTGTTGAAAAACTCAGCTTACACTTGAGTATATATGGTACTTTGCCTTCGACATCTAGGCTGATTAATCCTCACAATTTACAGCTGGAAAAGCCATGAAATCAGGGAAAGACTTTGTAGAATGAAAAAATTTCTTTTGTCCTTTTAAAAAATTTATTTATGAGTTTGTGGGAGAAAGATGAGGTTTTCTACTCCCATAAAGAGTTCAGTCTCGGACACCTAAAGAAGCAACTCTATCCTGTCCTTGAGGGTCACTGCGAGTCAGAATCAAAACAATGTGAAGGTTTTAGATGAGTTCACTCAGTAATACTACTTATTACCATAGAGTCTGATTTTTCCCCAGCTGTTGCTAGTTCCCAGCATCCAGGGGTCAAGCATATAATACACACAGTTAGGGAATGACCACATTATTTGGGCATATGTGAGAAAATTAAGTCTTCTTTAAATCAAGATAGCAATAACAACAAACCACTGAAAATAAAAATCCAGTCAGTTAAGCAAAAAGGGAGCCCTACTAAAGTGGTAGGAACTATTTACTCATAGATATGAAAGGAAACCACTTGAGCTGCAGCCCTCTCACTTCCAGTGTCTAACCCTTTAAGGCAGAGTACAACAGCCCGGTGGGTTGCAAAGGTTGTACTCTGTAAGGAAGCAGACCGCCACTTCTTTCTCTGATGGAGTCGCTGGTGCATTCAAATCACTGATCCTTCCGTGAGGAGCTGGCCACATTTACCACTGTACCAACAAGGATCCTTTCGTTTACATCAGATAGTGAAAATAATCTTTACACAGACTTTGGAAGAAGAGTAATAGGTATTCAAGCCTGACTTGACGGAAAAGAGACAATGCATGGTTTCAAAACCGAGAAGCTCCCCACACAAAAGCATTTTTTAAAACACAGTAAAACCTGCAAAAGCCGGAGTCTGTCTAAAGTGGAAATCTGTCCGAGAAGGAAAACTTAGCACTCTTCCACAAAAGGGCAACAGGAAAGTGGTAAGAAGGCAGCTCGCACAGGTGGAAACCTGTCGGGCTCCGAAAGCACGTTCCGGGTCTCCTGGAGTTCACTGTGTAAACAGGAGAGCGCCAAGGACAGAGTCCTCAGGTCATAGTTTAAAATTGGTGTTTTAAAATAACCACGCTATTAATTTCCTCTGATATTTCTTTATGTACCATACAAAGGGGAATATGATTTTATGACCATACTTGTTTGTTATACTCACACCTGCCTAATAGAAATTTGTAATCTATCAAGCGTATAATGTTTAAATACTTCTTTGATTCTTTCATCTTTAAATCCATCAAAGTATTTATAAAAAATGGGGAAATTTCATCTACCTCTTAAAGGTTTCTAAAATCAATTCCAAACTTCAAGCGACTAAATCAATCTGGATTGAAATACATTTTCCTTTCAAAATTATGATATCAATGGAACCATCGTTTCATTCCCCCCTTATTCATTTATATTTTTTAAAGAATTTACAGTATCAGAGCTTCTAACATAGAAAAGAAAATTTCCGCATGAGTTTACTGTTTAAAAGCTGGTGGGACCTAGGGAGGTACATGAGAGTCAAACATAAAGAAGGAGAAGGGGGACAAGTGGAGGGAGAAGCAGGGTGGGGAGAAACTGAGTTGATGATGGGGGTGGTGGTCACGGCACTGGCCCACTCAGGGGAAGAGTATTGGTTGTGTCCCCACAGAACTGGAACGGGCATACAGACCCCATCAGGACACGCCAAACCAGAAGAGCAACGTAACACGCGGAGGAATCCACAAAGAGACTGGACCATACGCTGGCCCTAACCAGAATTAGCCCGACCTCCACCATGGAAGGGAGCACCACAGAAAATGGAAATAGATCGTCTGGTGTGAGACAGGAACTGACCTACCACACCACACCCAGAAGGAAGCTGAAGCAAAGGAAGGAGGGGGAAAGGAGCGGAGCACAACTGGGCCCACCAAGCTCAGAGGACGATAGCCCAGCTCAGAGGGCCCAGTGTACAGAGAGGACCATATAGCGGCCCCCACAGCGAGATGCGACATCCTGAACTGACTCATGGCCCTGCACGGGACAGCACCGGAGACACAGTGTGGGATGGGCGACAGAGCTGACCCCACCACACTGAGGCAAAACACTGGGGGCGTGCAATGGAGCAGCAGGGAAGCAGAGCAAGGAGATACCAAGGGAAGACAAGCGGCCATCTAGCCCAGAAGCAACAAAGCCCACATGGAAGCAGCACACCAACATGTGTGATCATGAAGGGCCGAAGGGACCAGGCTTCAAACACCAAAGGCGGGGAGTAAAAATCATATCATTGTCAATGAGGGTGGCACGTGATCCAATGCCCATCTCTAGACAACGGGACATACATTGCAGAGGGGTAGTGGGGAGGAGATGAGTCACTTAGGGTTCGGTATAGCAATAATGAAACCCACAACCATCCTCTAGTTATTAAACACTTCCTCCCCCCAACTACCATGACCCCAATTCTGACTTGCAAACCTGGTTAGACCAGAGGATGCACAGTGGTACAGATGGGACCTGGAAACGCAGGGAATCTAGGACAGATGAACCCCTCAGGACCAGGGGTGACAGTGGCGATACCAGGAGGGAAGGGGAGGGGGGGGTGTAGAAAGGGGGAATCGATCACAGGGATCTATATATAACCTCCTCTCTGGGGGATGGGCAGCAGAGGGGTGGGTGAAGGGAGACACCGGGCAGTGTAAGATAAGATATAATAATAATTTATAAACTATTAAGGGTTCATGGGGGAGGGGGGAGGGAAAAAGGAAAATGAGCTGATTCCGGGAACCCAAGAGGAAAGCGAATTTTGGGAATGATGAGGGCAACAAATGTATAGGAGTGCTTTACACAATTGATCTATGTATTGTGATGAATTGTAGGAGCCCCAATAAAATGATTAACTTAAAAAAATTTTTTTAATTAAAAAAAAAGCTGGTGGGAAGAGTTGGGAGATGAGCATTCATAAGCATTCCACTAAATATATAAAACATGAATCTAGTCCATACTAAAGATGAAAGAAAAATGTTCACCTTGCTCTCTCTCTAAAAGGTAGAGCTGTTAGGATTCTACTGCCTGACAAGTTACTCCTAAAACTGCAGTCTCCCTTACTCTCCAACCATGAAGGTGAGGGATGGCTTTTTCTCTCTTTACCACATCAGGCCACACTAGAACAAAAGGGGGCTGGGCTTTGTTCAGGAAGAGGCAGATCAATGACTCTACATGTGGTACATGGGGCCGGACCAGCAACCCTTCAAAGCAAGATATCATTGAATGTTTCCATTCTGGCTAGTAACAGGGAAAATGTTCTTTTTCTTTGGGAGGTAGAACTGGATTTCCCTCTCTTACTACAGTATTATTGCTAATAGTTAATATAATTGGGGTAAAATAACAGAAATTGGTCATATAAACGCCAGGAGAGCAATGATATTAGCTTTTTTTTATTCACTGAGCTATCTCCATAGCATCTGGCATGTGGTTGGAGTGTACAATTTGTGGAACTAACCTTTAATATACTACTTCCTTTTTCAGAAGTGCTCTGTGTGAAAAGCCCATTTAAGGACAGAATCTTGAGAGTCAATTTTTATGGCATCACTGAGCTTTTCTCTAAAATTAAGCCCCAAGAACGTAACTCTCCCTTTGGGAGATCTAGATTCATACTTTAGGTAAACTAATGTAAAACAGACAATTAATGTGTCACACATGCCACCTACTGGTAACAGAGAACAAACTCACATTTGTAGATTAAAAGAACTTGTTTAATATTTAAATAAATTTAAACTGCTTAAAGCCAATATTCAGTACATATTTGCATCAGATGCCACGCCTGCAAAAAAAAAAAAAAAAAAAGGCTCCAAGGTTTAAATTAGTACCATGTGGCCTAATCCAGATCATGTTCTGCTGTAGAAGCAGTCAAACTCCTCCCCATCGGTCAATTCTGACTCCCAGCAGCAGCACTGTGAGGCAGGGAGAGTAGACGTGTCCCATACGGTTTCCAAGGCTGGAATCTCTACAGAAGCAACTGCTGTAACTTTCTCCTGCAAAGCAGTTGGTGGGTGTTGAACCACCAATCCTTCCATTAGCAGCTGAGCACTTAACAAGTGCTCACATTAAACAAGTTCTTTTAATCTTAACAAGCTGAGCTCCTTTTAACAAGTGGGACAAATAGTTTTAGTATATCCAATGTCAGAGAGTTTAAAGTACTGTTGATCTGACTTTATGCGAGTACAGGCCAACTGCGAGCTACAATCCACAAGATGTTGCTTTGTACAGATAGACTTCTTAATTGGTTGAGTTTCATTTGCACTGAGCATGGGGGTTGGTGCTAAAGGAAAATTTACTGTATCATTCTTACAAGGGCAGACCCTGGCCTATCAGATTAATATCTGTCATATTACTACAAGGGGAGCATTGAGGTACTAAATATATGGTAGATCTAGGTCCCCTTTCAGTGGACGGCCACTAAGCCAGAGGTCCCACCCAAGGTCCAATGGCCATCCTTTCCACAGTCTTGGGCAGCCATCTTTTGCTTTCTCTCCCATCAGGGACCTTCGGCCCTAAGTCCAAGGGCTACAGGTAGCTTTGAGGTAGAGCCTGGTTCATTCATTTGGGTTTCCACGTTGAGTACTTCTGGTGTGGCCCATGTTCCCTGTAAGGTCTGCAATTAAGGTCATTCTTGTGCTTACTTCATGGTGTGGTTCACCAAGGGTTGAGTAGAAACTTATTCAAAGTGTCTATCTGGGACCTTAAACCTGGTTTTGTTCTCCCCTTAGGTTTCTAGGACAAATAGTTTTAATAAAGCAAATATTCCAGTAAGCCCTTAACACTTTCTCACATATGAATGCCACTTATCAGAAAGAGGGCAAGTTACAAAGAGAGGGAGTATGGCTCACTTATTCAAATCCAATGCCACGGGTGAACAGACATATTCAGGGCAGCTTTATTGACAGTTGGAGCAATACATCACTTGCGTACCAAAGAGCAGCAGGCTTTCTTCCAAGGAAAGCTACCATCAGTTAAACAGAAAGATTATATTAGAAAGATCTGTGTTTGTTAGCATTTTCTTTTAGACATTTTATAGATCACCATAAATGAGGGGAAAAAAGAAGAAAGCATAGAACACTGAGCTGGCCCCTCATTTAAATACATCTTGCCTGAACAAAACCAGACATAAAAAGAGGGGAGGGCAGATTTTAAAATTTGAACATAAATTATTCACTCAGAAAAATCCACCTCCTATGGCAAAATCAACCATTCTCACAGGAGCTGCCAATTTCCACCATCCGTCAAGAAAACACCCTGTGTAGCATAAAAGCAGCAGGGAGGAGCTGAAGATATTCACACCTGGTTCGTTAACAACCCTCATTGCTATGCAGTCAACGCGAACGTTCAGCGAGCCTAGAGATAGATAGAACTGCCCTGACAGTTAACTCTTCATGGAAGTAGAAAGCCTCGTCCTTCTCCCACAAAGCAGCTAGTGGTTTGTAACTGCTGTCCTTAAGGTTCACAGCCCAACAAGTAACGACTGTGTCACCAGGTCTCTTTTCAGTTTACAGCAGGGCTGGATAAAATATGGCATGGGGACTACAGAAATACATATATTCCCGAGTCACGTCTGCAAAGAAGAGATGAGAAGCGTGCTGGGCGAGCAGCGGGGCTGCGCTCTGTCGAGTCAGTTCTGAGCGAACCTGCAGACTCCCCGAAGCCCGGCCTCGACAACAGGGCCTGCATACTCACAGGCACGTTGACTTGCAGAGTGGTGCCCGGCGTCCATGAGAGTTCTCTGTTTGTGCCGAAATGCCTCCTCAGCTCTAGTTTCTGTCTTCCGAGCTCCGCTACCATGAGGATTTATTTGTTCTGCTGTTACCGATAAGCCTGCAAGCAGAAGATAAGCAATACCTATTGAAATATTCCTAGCTACATAAACCAACAAGGTTAAAAAAAAAAGTCTAAAATACAGAACTGAGTTTTAAAGTCATTAATTCTACTTGAACAGTTTGCATTTCTGATGGAAAAATAGTGTCTTTTGTTTTGAAATGGAAAGAAGCTAGATATAAAACCATAAAACAATTGGGCAGGACCTGTTTACATTTAATCCTCAATAATGGCCTATGTTTACTCATTTTCATTCTCAAAGGGAAGATTTTCACATCACCATGACCGTGGGACAACAAGCTATATAATGTGACAAAGTGATGATTCTTGCCATCTTCTTGTGAGTAGGTGTTCCAGTGACCTGCATCCTAGTTGCCTGCCCCACCGTACTGCAGGGGGTTGGTTTTCCTGGACTGATCTTCGGTTTCTTAACTATAGATGCTTGTTTTTCTGAGGGCTCTCTCTCTTTCTTACTCTACACAACTGCACATTCTCCCACAGAGTATCATTATACCAACAGTTTCTATAATCACTCCTCTATCGACATCTTTAGCCCAAACATCTCACCCATGTATCCAATTGTTTACTTGATACTTCCAATTGGATATCCTAACACTAGATCATATTCAAGTTAGTACTTCATCTTTCTTTAAAAAAAAATATTATCTACTCATTCAATCGGGAATCTGGCAGGCAATTTGGACTTTTCCTTCGTCACAATGGCCCCTCAACCCTCCAGTTCAATTCATTCTCCCTTTCTCCAGTCCCACCTCACTCATTAAAACCCGAGACTACTACAGTGATGTTCCCCTCAGCAATTTTATCGAGGTACAGTTAATAGTTTACGTAACATGAAAACCACCCATCTAAATGACGGTTTGTGCTTTCTGAGCTAACAGCGGTGTGCAATCATCACATCAGTTACTTTAGAACACTGTTCAGGAAAGCACCAATCTAACAAGATGACATCACAGAGTCCACAGATGGATATATTAACACTGAATATCAATGGCCTGAACTCAGGCATCAAAAGGCAGAGGCTAACAGACTGGCTGAGGAAACATAACCCATCGATCTGCTGCCTCCAGGAGACTCATCTCAAGCTTGCAGAAAGCACCAATCTATTCCGTCTCCAGATCTGCCTCTTCTGGCCATTTCCAGTAAACAGAATGATCAAATATGTGGTCTTATGAAGGCTTCTCTCACTTAGCATATTTTTTTCAGCTAGTCTTTATTGTAGCGCTTATCAATGCATTGTTCTTTTTAATATACCATCATGTGGCATACTATCTTTTGTTTATACTGATAGACATTTGGGTTATTGCCAGTCTGTTTAAGGTTACTGCTATTAACATTCAAGTGGGTACATGTTTTATTTCTCTTAGGTTCTAAAGAATGGAATTGCTGGTAAATGTTTAATTTTTCAGGAACTGCCAAATTGTTTCCCAAGTTGGCATATTAACCAGACTTTTATCTCCCAGCCTGGCTGCCAAAGCAAGGGGACCAATTCAGTCCACTTCTTAAGAGTCCTTCAGTGGCTCCTACTAACTACAGGAGTGGGCCTCACACTTCAGTGTACACAAAAAAACCACCTAAGCATTTGGGTAAATGGAGATTCCCTGGCCTTATTATGCTCAGAGAATCTAATTTCTAGGTCTACACTGATGTGGGAGCCCTGGTAGCATAATGGGTTAGGCATTTGCAAGGTCCGCAGTTCAAAGCCACCAGCTGCTCCCTGGGAGAAAAATGAGACTTTCTACTCCTGTAAAGACTTAACAGGGTTGGAAACCCACAGGGACAATTCTACTCTGTCCTATAGAGTCACTCTAAGTTATAATCGATTCACTGTTGGTGAGTCGATTGGTTTGGTTTTGACACCGATGTAGTAGGCACTCACATTTTGGAACACACTGACCTACAGAATAACATCCCAGGTCCTTGGTATATCACTCAGATATTTATTGGGAACCTGTTATATAAGACGGGGTCTTTTTTTTTCTTTCTTAGAATGAGTGAGTGAGTGAGTGAGAGAGTGAGTGAGTGAGTGAGAGTGAGTGAGTGAGTGAGTGAGTGTGAATGAATTTTAGAGAGAGAGAGAGAGAGAGAGTGAGTGAGTAGGTGAATGAAAGTGAGTGAGTGAGTGCAAGACAGGGTCTTAAGGATTCAAGTAGAACCATGATCAAGGCATTCAAAAGACAAAAGAGAAAAAGACACAAACACAGAGAGAGACCAACACACAAGAAAACGTCACGTGCTATGAGGACCAGCAGATGGTCACGATAGCCCGCCTGCAGGATGGAGAAGAAAAGCTTCTCCATAATCTGGATGGAGGTCCTAGCCCAGCTCACCTCGAGTCTTATCTCCAACCATTCTCTGCTCATTCACACCTTTCAGCCTTTAACCTGAGGGAAAGTCTAAGTCCTGCTACTAGGTTCCATACAGGCACAGTTATTCCAAACAAAACATGTCTAAACATGTCTGCAACCAGTGGAGACAAATTTGGTCAGTAATATGAGGGGGCACCCCAAAAAAGCCAGAATTATTCATTTTTTTTCAAAGTATGCATTCAAATTTTTTTCATAAAACAACCTTATCACCTTCTAAGTACTCTCCATGGCACTCGATACATTTGTCAAATCTGTGACTCCATTCTTGGAACTATTTTTCAAATTCATCTGTTTGGATGGCTCACAGCACCTGCCTCGTTTTTTTCTTCACCTGTTCTAGGTCATCAAGTTGCTGTCCTTTCACATCCCTCTTCATACACAGAAACAAAACTCACATGGAGCGAGGTCAGCTGATTAAGGTGCATAGGGTAAGAGAGGTATGCTGTTTTTTGCAAAATCTGGCACTGAGATAGCAGCATGAGCAGGTACATTGTCATGGTGGCAAAACCAGTCCTCCATTTGCCACAAATCAGGACTTTCTGTTGCACCCTGGTACATAATCTCCAGAACTTCTAAATAGAAAGCTTGATTAACCTGGTGGAATTAAATTCCAAATGCACTATGAGTCAATATTTTTATCCATTCGGGAAATTGATGGACGTCCAGAATGAGGCTTGTCATCAATCAACATTTCACCTTTTTTGAAATGAGAAAACCACTTGTATACTTGAGTGTTTCCCATTGTGCTGTACTTGTAAAGCTGTGTTCAACCATCACAACAGTTTGTGCCGCATTTTCCTAAACGGCATGCTGTTCTCTTAAATCAGCCATCACAAAAAAACAAGATTCGAGCCAAACTGCTTGAAAAAATTCACTGTGACCAGAGAACCTTCCCAGGCAAGGCCACTGGGTGCACTACTCAGAGTGAGTTGCTTGATGCTCACTTAGAGGGGGTTGCAGGTGAGTGGGAGCTGTGTACGACAAAAGCTCCACCCAGGGGAACTTTTTTCCAGTTTGAGGGGTACCCTCTTATACACTTCTCTTAATCTTTTTAAGGTGCCTTCAAAAGAAAACGCACCGGCTTCCTAGGGGACCTGTTGGACTAGTTAAATTTAATAAAGGGAAGCTAACTCAGAAGGTTAGGAAGATTACTTTTGGGGATTCCAAAATGGCTATCATGATAGATCTTCTCATAGGACAGGACGATCATGGGGCTTATTATGAAGTAGTTTTGAGAAAATTAAAAACTGCATTGGTGAGAAAAAGGACAAGAAAATTGTGCCTATGATTTTTTTCCTAACACAACAACGCACCTGCTGCTCCTTCTTCAAGGGAAGTAATTGCTGTCCTTTAAGAATTTAGTTGGGAAACCTTACTCCATCCATCCAACAGCCCAGAACTGAACCCTTCACTTCTTTTTGTTGGCCAAACACAAAGAACACTTCAATGGAACACAATATAAGTTCCTTGAGCATGCCCACACTGACATTTTGACACAGTGCTGCTCAAAGAGCGCAACATTTTTCAGGAATGGGTTAGAGGGACAGAAACACCACCTCCAGACGTGTACAGACCTAAGAGGAGGTGGTGAAGAAACAGTACACTTTTATATTTTTGCTATCAAAGAATTCTATTTTATAGTAATACTTTTTTGACTTATCCTTAAATACACTATTGTTTCTGCTTCCTCTATCCCTGTCGTTGCCACTCTTTCCCTCATCCACCAGGGACAATACTCTATATGGACGCTCCAAATGCCAGTGAAAACAGGTCCCATCAGGTGTCCTCGCTGTGCCTCGGTATGTATGGTACTTGGTTTGTCATTTCACTTGGTCCTACTGAAGTGAGAATTCCTCAAGGGTAGAGATACAAATTGAATGAACAAGCCACATTTGCTAATTGTGTGTTTATAGTAACAAAATTGCAACTAAAATTTTAATGGGGGAGGAAATCAGTACTCCTAAAAACTTATTTTTAAAGTATCAGGTTTTAATGAAAATTTAAAACCCATCAGATATGAAAGTTTAAAGTATAACGAAATGTTTAAATATATTCTTGCAACAGATATTTCACTAAGAAATACTTTGCCTCTGTCATTTGCACTGCCTTAAAATTTTCACAGAAAGAGCTGCTGTGATTTGCCGTAAAGTTGATAATGACTCGGGCCAGACCACTTACTCATATAGAGTATAACTGTCCCTCAAGACCTCTGGGGGATTTCAACCACCAACCTTTCTACTAATCAGGTGCTTAATCAGCTGCACCACCTAGGGATTCATGGTGCATATGAGTAACAGAAACTGAGGTTGTACCTCAAAATCCTTCTCCATATATGTTATTGTCATAATACCAACAACCTTAAGAAACACCATTCAATGGTTCTTGATCTGATATCAATAGAGTAGGTTTCAAGTGCAAGTTCATATCTGAAACTTACCTCTTTTTATTCTTGCTTCCTTAATTTCTTCACAGAGTTTATTAAATTCAGGATCTAATTCCGCTGCAATGATAGCATGTGCAGTGTCCTTCAGAGTACAAGCCCTGTGCCTAATTATCTTGTCTGTTAAAAAAAGACGGTATACATTAATTACAACTACATGAGACAATGTTCACAAAGAACATCCCGTAAAATAAAAGGACACAAACATTTAAATATGTCATTGCAAAACATATTTCATTAATGTTCATTAATGATGGGCTAGAAAACAACAATCTCCTCAATCAAGTTGGTAATTTTCTAAAAATTGCACTTTTAAGAATATCAACGTACTAAGCCTTTCAAGCAAGCCTCAAAAGAAATATAACTTCATTAAATTTTTTTGGAAACCAAATGTTGACTACGAAAACCTACAGGATATTGAAAGCTCTGGTGGCATAGTGAGTGGGCTATGTATGGGGTTGCTAATCATAGGCTGGAGGTTCAAACCTACCAACTGCTCTTCAGGAAGAAAATGAGGCTTTCTACTCCCATGAAGATTTAGTCTCAGAAACCCACAGGGGCAATTCTACTCTGTCCTATAATGTAGCTAGGAGTTAGAATTGACTCAATGACAGTGAGGTTTTGTGAGGTAGAGTATTGAGGTGGGGGCCAAACCTGGAAAGGGCTCTCTGAAGAAGATATGCCATTTAATACATTGAGATTTAAAACATACATTGGAGGAGTCACTGAAATAGTGGGGGAAATACCAACGCAGCCTCAGGAAACACTATGTGAGATTAAAAGAGAGTTTGGGAATTTCACAAAAAAGATAGAAGACATGTGTGGCTAGAACACGCTAAGTAAGAGGGAAACTAGAACCAGACCATATGAAAAGGATTTTAGATTATATCCAAAGAGCAATGAGTAGAAAAGAAGTAAGATGGTAGGGGGCTGGAGTAGAAGGGCAAGGAAAATAAAATAATTCTAACAAACAACTTTAAAAAAATCACTCTGCCTGTTATTAGGAGACTTGATGGAAGGGATGGTTCACTAATAAAACCAAGAAACACAATCAGAGGCTCTTTTTTACCTTTCCCCCCACTGTGACCTGTGAGAAAGGATCGGGAACTGCCGTGTGGCAGGAAAGGAATGCAACCACTCTGAAACACACTGGAAGCTTCTATATGGCCCAGCTTCACACAGTCAGTGTGGGGGCGAGGCTTAAGAAGAAGCTCTAACTTCTTGCATGAAAAATGAGTGAATGGGAGTACCATTTAAAGAAGATGTTTGTAGGCCACTGGACATCCCCTTACAGAAGGGTGTCGGGGAGGAGACGGGCCAGTCAGGGTACAGTGTAGCAAGGATGAAACATACAACTTTCCTCTAGTTCCTAAATGCTTCCTCCCTGACCCCGCCTCCGAGCCCCCTCCCTACTGTCATGATCCCAATTCTACCTTACAAATCTGGCTAGACCAGAGGATGTACACTGGTACAGATAGGAACTGGAAACACAGGGAATCCAGGACGGATGATCTCTTCAGGACCAATGGTGAGAGTGGCGATACTGGGAGGGAAGAAGGAGGGTGGGTTGGAAAGGGGGAACCAATTACAAGGATCTACATGTGACCTCCTCCCTGGGGAACGGACAACAGAAAAGTGGGTGAAGGGAGACGTCGGACAGGGCAAGATATGACAAAATAAAAATTTATAAATTATCAAGGGCTCATGAGGGAGGGGAAAAATGAGGAGCTGATGCCAGGGGCTTAGGTGGAGAGCAAATGTTTTGAGAATGATGAGGGCAATAAATGTACAAATGTGCTTTAACAATTGATGTATCTATGGATTGTGATGAGTTGTATGAGCCCCTAATAAAATGATTTTTGAAAATCTAAATACATAGCTTTGAAAAGGAAATTCTGTGTTCTGAGCTGGGCAGAGGGTACCCCCTCGTTTATCAGCATAAACAGTCCCGGTAAATATTTGAATTTAACTTCTATTGACATTAACATGTAACAAAGAAATACATGAATTATAATGTCAATAAAACTGTTTAATAAAACTTTAAAAAAAACGTGTGGCTATGTTCAGTTTAAAAACAAACAAACAAGCTTCATTTACAGAACTAATTAAATGAACTAGCTTAAGGCTTCGGCCATGTCGTCTGAGTACAATTCACTGGCATAATTCCTAGTTATTGTCCATTACCCCATGTAGTCATCATTCCCCTTTTCCTACTCATTTTAAACAGTATATGATTATGTGTACGTGGTGTGTGTGTTTTAAGTCATTCCATAGATCTCCTTTGCTGGTGTATGAGCTTCAGGCTCCTGCTTGCACAACTCCAGGTTCTCTGGAAACTTCAACGGAGGCTCCCCTTAGGTGGTTCCTTCTCTGGCTGTGATTAGTTGTGTCCTCAGCACTCTGCTGAAAGCCAGAAGAGGGCCTTCTGCAGCTGTTGTCATGCGTGTGCTGCACAGGTTTCTTCTTCGGAAAACTGCCGAGCGCTTTAGCCACTGTGGTCTCCCTTGGGTATTCCCTCCCTGTGCCACCACCTGGAAACGCTCCAAGAAAACGCAGTGTTCGGCTTGTTTATGTCTCATCTTTTAGGGGCATTGTCCTTCACTGCTTTATAATTAATGACTTAGAAATGATTATTGCATGTATTTTGTTCAGGGTTTTTATTTCATGTTAGAGTGTAAACCCAGTCCTTTGCCCTTTATTGTGACCAAAAGGAAAAGCCCCTATGTCTGGAAATATTATTTGAAAGCCACACAAATGGCTGTATAACATTCCAAAGAAGGATGTACCTTAGTTACTCTAATTATTTATTGTTAGAAGTTTTAAGATGGCTTTATATCTTACTACTTTACTTACTTTACTGGTGGCACAGTGGTTACACATTGGGCTGTGCTCCAGATGGTAAGCAATTCCAAACCACTGGCAGCTCCGAGGGAGAAAGAAAGACAGGGCTTTCTACTCCTGTAAAGAGTTGAGGTCTTGGAAATTCACAAGGACAGTCCTACCCTATCAGACAGGGTCACTAAGAGTCTGTATCCACTTGATGCCAGGGAGATTTTTTAGAGAGCTTGAGCTACATTTACTTGATACAGATAAAAGCTACAATGCACATCTTTAGAAGCAGCGACACTGGTGAACTAATACTATAGTATTTTCAGCCCACTCTGTCTGACCCCAGCTTCTACAGAGGTTAGATGAAATGCAAAACCATGTTGAAGGCACATTACCTCTTCCTCTACAGTAAGTCAAGGGTCAATGATAATTTATGCTTTGCTTTTTTTTTAAAGCACACTTCTCCTCTTCCATTCCACTGTCCATTAAATAAAGGTTAAGAGAATGAAGACAAAATAAAGGGGAAAAAACAGCAAACAATCCTTAAAATTCTCCACTGCTCTGAAGAACAATAAAGTTATTCTAAAGAGCACCTTTTATTTGATGGTAGACAAGTGCCTATCTTAACTCTTTTCAGTCATTCTTAGCTTAGACCAGCACCTGAGATTATACACAGTACAGAATCATAGACTTAAAGACTATTAAAAGAGATACCCATAATCATTACTGGTTCTTACTCCTTTTCCTGAGGGGGAGGAGAGTTAGTAAAAATGGGCTAGATTGACAAAATAGTAATTTATCAATTATCAGGAAAAAAAAATTTATCAATTATCAGAAGTTCATGAGGGGAGGGGGAGCGGGGAAAATGAGGAGCTGATATCAAGGGCTCAAGTACAAAGAAAATGTTTTGAGAATGATGATGGCAACAAATGTACAAATGTGCTTGACACAATGGATGTATGGATTGTGTAAGAATTGTACGAGCCCCCAATAAAATGATTTTAAAAAAACAAAATAAATAAAAGTTAGAAAATGAATTATATAAAAAAAGAATGGGCAAGAAAAAGTACATATATATGCATGTATGTATGTGGTTGTATGTGGTTGTTCAGAGACTCTCACGAACTTGTCTTAAAATGCTTGCTTTCATAAAAGTGCACAAATAGAAGCTACACATTTAGCAGCTATTTTCACTTTGTCTAATGCTTTATGGTCTCAAGATTCTCCAAGTTTAAGAAATATGAAAGTAACATGAGACCAACCTCACTGCCATCCAATCCATTCCGACTCAGAGCAACCCTGTGGGGCAGGGTGGAACTGCCCCCATGAGCTTCGGAGACTAACTCTTCATGGGAGTAGAAAGCCCGTCTGTGATTGTGCAGTGAGCAGACCAACGTGTAAGCCACTACACCCCAGGGTTCTTTGTTAGCACGCCGAAAATTAAATGTAGTATTCGAACGGATGCTTGTTCTTCATCTACTTACTTCTCTGATTCCCTACCACGCCAATGAAAACCAGAAGCCATTCTCATCTCTCTCAGTCATATCTGACTGGGTGGTCCCTAAAGCCTCCATATTTGATGTCTTCCACTGCCATTGCCAACAGAGGAAAACAAAGAGAACCTTAACTTGTCTCCTAAACTCCTTCGCACCACTGTGTTGAGGCTACTGATATTACTCAAACAAGCAGACTCTTAAAATACCAATCAAATAATATTGTATCATTTTCTATCTCAAAACCACCTAATGTAGTACCTTTACATCTAAGAATTAAAAATAAAGTCCTTACATGCTCCTTACATGGATAGAAGACCTCCTGTGGTTTTTATCTTCTAGAGTCTCCACTAAGTAGGCTTCAAGCATTTTACAGAATCCAGACCTGTGCCTTACTCATCTGTCTCTCTCTAGGACTGAACATAATGATTTACTCATAGGAAATGGTTAATAGTTGTCAGGCAACAATGAATTGGTGGGGTACAGTGATAGAATTGCCTATCCATTTGTCACCAAGCACAAATTTTCCAGCCAAGATTTGTAATTCCTTTGTACACTACTTGCTTCAGTCTGGAAAAAAAGGCCCTTCCCAATCTTGCTCATCTCCAGGTAATATCTTTTCCTCTGTGCTCCAGTCATACTTGGCACATATTTCTAACAGGCATGATGACACTACATTATAGTCATGTGCTGCCCTCTCTAGACAGCATTCGTTACTGCTACCTTGCCTGTCAGGTGGTATTACTGTGATGGCTTTGCATGTTGCTGTGATGTTGGAAGCTATGCCACCAATATTTC